GAGGCCTGAGGAAAAGCGCGCCGGCGGCGGCGCCGATGGCGCCATTGCCGCCCTAGTGTAATTCTTCACATTTTGGTCCTTTTTGCTCCAAATTCGCTCCTTTTTGTATCTTTTTGCTCAATTGACCTTAATTCATCATTCTTGCAACAAAACATCAAAAAAACATTTTTTAAAGTGCAATATCATTAAAAACAGTATAAAGATGTACTAAAATCTCAACATATTTTACTTTGGTCAAAATGATAATACTATTCCGGACTCCTGGTATTTGGCATTAACTGAGGTGGCCAGTTAAGAGTTTTCTTAACTTAAATTGCCATCAAAATGTTAACATGTGATGTGTTAAGTGACACATATTCCTTCTCCAATTGGGGTTCACGTCTTTGTGATTAAGAGCATAGGCCATAATTTTCTCATGGCTTGTACTTCTTTTGATGAGATGCTTGAGTAGTGTTTACAGGGTTCTCCTTACACCTTTCTACGAGCTACTCTAGTTACTTTTTGTACGCAGTAATAACTTCATCAACTACAATTTGTTCTTAATACAGTGGATGTGGTCAACATATGAACAACTGTCTCCTACATCAAAGACGAGTATAAAGAACCAGTAGATAATCCCTCAATAAATTATCTCTAAATAATTTTAAATATACTAATGAGATTTGACGAGTTTCAATCGAGAACCTCATAATATAATTTTTTAAGTGACTCCCCCTTTGTTTAATGAATCATGTAGAGATGTGAGAAGTCCTTAATAATCTCTTAGTTTCTTATGATTGCTTCATAAATAATTTGACATGTTTATTAAATGTATGAATGATTCCTCTAAGGAGTGAATAAAGCCAAGTATGTGTTTAGCCTTTAAGAGTAGTAGGGAAAACTTGACAAATGAGAACATTGTATGTTCATGATGGTTTTGATGTGATTAATATGTCTGCACTGGTCGACATCTAATTTGAAGAATTAATGTTTGGAGACTTAAATCCTGTTAGATAGGGTGTTGGATGACGATCTTAGCCAAAATAATTGACTCTTTAAAATTACATCTTGCTGCGAAATGATTTGTATCCCTTATAATGAACAATTCTTGTACTAAACATTGCAACCCTTCGTTGATTGCATGCGGTCGAGTTATGTTCACTACATGTGTTAGACGTTTGTTGCTAGGCTTTACTACAAGATGTGTATGTGTAGAGATAGCAATGTTCATGAGTTCAGCTTGTTTAGGAGGAACTCTTGTGTGCGGATGGGGTGTCAATTGTATACCAATAATTTATTGATTTTTGATAATTGTATGTCTTTAACATGCATCATTGTCGGTTGTCGAGCCTCCCATAAAGCTGGAGGATCTCATTATGATATTTCTTTATTCTTCATACACAATCTTCAATAGGTGCAAGGGGGGTTCCTTCGCCAGTTGTATATTATTGGGAAACAAAATAGAAGCTACCTTGAATTCAAGGCCGAGCCTTGAAATGTCGAGTAATAGAATGAGAAGCTCGTGTATTGCGTTTGTTAGCCATTGATATGTGTAGACTTTAATTAACGAGATTTTTTTTTCCTACAGACGAGTCAAACTATTGTGTACTAGAAAATTCACGACAATAGAGTTATAAATTAATGTCTCAGCATTGCAATAAGATATTTCACAGAAAAAGATAATAAAAATAATATGATAATACCCTATATTTTTTATGTGAAAAATTTTGAAGAGGGAAAAAATCATGGGGCCTAGCCAAGTCAAAGTATTCTACTATAAGTGTAAAATTATAAGGGTACATTTGTTTCTCAACCGAGAGAACAGGGTTACCATTTTACACTAGCTACAACACTTATCAATATACAACACAAAAAACAGTATAGGTGTTAGGAACAACTATTGTATTATGACTACAACAATCATAAGTTGTAATCCTCGGCGGTCGGTGGTCAATGGTCGGTGATGGTAGGTAGTGACGGTCGACAGTGGTTGATGGTGCGTAACAAACGGTGGTCGGCAACTACTGATGCTAAAACTTATCAATAAATTTTAAATGCAAGTGTTATTATTACAACTGTATCTGAGATATAACATTTGTAAGCAGGGGTCTTTAGCCGCCGAAGGGCGGCAGTGGCAGGCGGTGATGACCAATGGTGATCGACAACTACGAATACAATAAATTTTCATCAAATCTTTAATCCATAACAGGATTTGGAATTTTTTCTTCTCCTTCCCCCTCAAGTGAAGAGAGCGGGTCTATGTAGTCTGTTGGGAATAACATTTTGGTCTTTTGGTGAATGACTTCTCTAACCATCTGATCATACGACCCATATTGATCTCCTTTAATCATAGGGGTTTTTAATAATTTAGGGTCTTAATTACCTCTAAATTGAGCGATCTTAGGCTCGTTAGGTTTTTTTCACCGAAATGCTCAATTGAACTATAAATATGTCAAATTTGAAGTTCATCTGACCATTTAATTGACAATATTACTTCTCCTAATGTCATTCAATCACTGATCTGGGCTTTATTGGATCCACATTTAGCCAACAGTGACATCATTAGATCATTTTGTCGAGACTGTCAGTTTGACTATAAAATTGCTGAGATCATGAACTGAATGATTTTGAATTTAAATTTAGAACATTTATTATTTAAAAAATGCATCCATATTAGTGTTGGAATACAATAATTTTTTGATGACATATCGACTATCATCAATTATATAATAATGTTATAAAATAAGTTTTATTTCTTAGAAAATTAAATTCAATCATAATTACTCATTACAAAAGTAATAGTAAAGTAGTCTCCAATCAATTAAAAATTTAATTGAAATTAAAATTCTATTCGGCTTTAAATTAGCATATATATATATCCTATATATATATATATTTGTGAACTCGGGTGCTCCCGGACTTTAAATCTTGTAGTGTTTTAAAATTGGACTGAAAATCCATAGCCATAGTTTTAGTGACCCGTATTACACCCGGCCATCGCTGTTACCGTTTCAAAATACAAAAACCCGAGCTTTCCTCTCTTTGTCTGGCTGGTGATGTCCCCCGATCTGAATCCATTGCTCATATGCCCCCACAGAGGAGGAAAGAGACCCGAGGCGGATCCCGACGAAGGAAAACATTCGAGCGGCAATACGATGGCTCGTATGGGGCAACCGGCACGGCGACTCACTCGTCTTCCATTTCTCCGGCCACGGATCGCAGAAGCTCGACCTCTCGGGCGATGAGGTCGACGGCTATGCAGAAACCCTTTGTCCTGTTGACTACGAGGAGCAAGGGGTCATCCTCGACGATGAGCTCAACGCCACTCTTGTCCGCCCACTCTGTACAGGCGTCAAGCTCCACGCTATCATTGATTCCTGCCACAGCGGCACGGTCCTCGACCTCCCCTATCTCTGCCGGATGTCCAGGTAATTTTTTGTTGATGAAATTTGTAACTTGTACACCGCTTTGGAATTTCAGATACTTTGGGAATTGGGAGTCACAGAAATATAGGGCAAACATTTTTTTTGGCTGAATTTAAGTTAAATTCTTCACTATAATATTATACCAAACAACCCATAACATGTATTTGTAAATGCAAATGAGAACAAGGGAAAATAATCATTTTTCTTCAAGTTTGATTTGGAATGTTAAAAAACTATTGCGTTTGATAAATAATTTGACACTTATTCATATAAAGCTCATTTTAATTTGATTACTTAGACAGTTGAACTAGTTTTCACAAAACTTTTTGAGGCCACCATATACATGAACAAGTTTGAATATTACTATATTCATTAATTTATGTTTTTTAAGTGCTCATTATTGTTTAACAAATAGCTTGTTGAGAGATCGATCAAGAAGATGTTCATCAATAAGTCGTAGTTATTTATTTGATGCTTGTTCTATGTTAATATATCTTTTTTTTTTAAAAATATTCTATGCCTAAAATTATTTATATTGTGGAGACATAAATTTCATGATTAAGATTAAGAAAATAGCTATATGTGTAGATTAGAAAAATCTTATTTTTCTATTAGTACTTATTAAAAAAATATATGAAAAAATTGTTGATGAATATATTATAAGTCTATTTTTTTTATACAGTATAGAAGTAATGTTGATTGAATGCATTTCTAATAAGTAATTAATGCTTTTTAATTCATTAACATCATATATATATATATATATATATATATAATTAGTTGGGCTCAATTAAAACTCATTTATTTTCAAATTTGAAAACAAAATTAATAAACAAGTTTGAACATGATGTAAATACTTGAGTCATATTCAATTTGATCAAATTCGATTAGAAAATAAGTGAATAAGCTTTTAATATGATAGTAAGTAGGTAATCTTGATTTGTTTACTGTTCTAAGTTTGATACTTTTTTTTTAACAAACTTTCTAGCATTTGTTGTAAAATGTATGAATAAGTAAACTTGTAAAACTAGTGAAAACTTTCAAATGTAAGACAATTACAAAATTGAATGAACAACCATATAATTTGAAATAACAACTAATTTTAAATTTTTACACTTTTCATACTTCACCATCCTAACTAAAAGAAGAAGAAGAAGAGGGAGGAGGTGGAGGAGGAGGAGGAGGTGGAGGAGGAGAAACAAATCACTATATATATAGAATATAAATCATTGTTTGATTTGATGATTGTTTTAGAATATTTATGTGGTGGAATGAGAAAACCAAAAGACATGGAATTGTAATCAAGATAAAAAAATATTGTACTTGAGATAAACGCAGAATAAAAAGATAAAGTATGATTAAAGATACACCAGGATTTATGTAGTTCAACTTCAATTAAGTCTATAACCACTGGCGAGGAGAAATAAGATTCGATTATCTAACAAAAAAAGAAGCTATAATTATGGTTTATAAAATAAGATCTCTCTTAAGCTCTTTTCCAAATCCCAAGTACACCTATGCAAGTAGGAGAAAAAAAAAACCCAAGAATTTCATAACTCAAAGATTAACTCGCAAAAAAATAATAAAAAAAGGACAAAAACTTCTAGCATTCATGTCTAGGTCTTCTCTATCCTCCAAGAACTCTAGCCACTGATAGTTTATGTGATAAATGATGCATGTCTTTGAGATTAAGATTTTCCAAACTATAGAAATAATAGACCGACTTACAATTTTGTTTGTCCTTTAATTGTGAACCAAGAGAAAAAGTTGTACCAGAAGTTTTGAGACACTCAATCCAATATGATTTGTAAGGGTAATATAATAAAAATGTTTGAGTAAATAGGTAACAACATGAGTTAAAAAAACATTTCTCCTCTTTGACTTGATATTTTCGTAAAATTGAATTTTTGCCTCTCCATGTCAAAGTTCTAAAGCTCCAACAGCCCCAAATCGCTCAACAATGTGCAATCTAATCAAAATCAAATGCTAAACTAAATGCTCACACTCTGAAGTTGTGTCATTGAATTACAACCACTTAACATTGAATGTTGGTAACTCGGATGTGGCCTCCTAGACCCATGTAACGTTCTAACATGAAGAAATTGTGTACCACAATTTCAATCTTTCTAATCATCTCCAATGTCTCCCCCTCAATATGTGTCTCCTATTATTCAAGAACTTTTTTTGCATCCTGGAAGCTAACTTACGTTTGCTTCCACAATATGTGATGCTCCTCCAAAGTAATTCAAACTTGAGCAACTCCACTTAAAGATGCACTATGGAACACATAGAATTTATTAACTTGTAATGTTTTAAACATTCAACCAACAAGAGATTATTTGTTATGATTTAATGGCTTTACGATTTTGTATCCATTAGTGTTATTTCCCAAGAGGTAACTAGTTGAGGAGTGCTTTTTTATAGAAGCGCGTAACTTTAGTGTTTCCAATAAACTTTCAACCATTACATTCAAAGTTGTCTTGTAGTGATACCCGAGTTAACCAAATAACAATAGGAAAACAACTATTATTACTAAAAAAACCAATGTGAGGTTACAGTCAAACCCGCATTGAAATGGGAAGTAAAACAACACAACACAAACTCATACTATGGTTTGATCCGTGGTGGTGGGGGCTGGCTAGGTGGTCGAGGAGCGGTGTTAGGTGGCTGGAATTGGCTGTGGGATTGCTGGAAATGACAAGGAAGGGGTCGGAATTGGTATGGTAGCTAGGCTGAAGGCCTGGAACAACTGCAACAATGAAACAAGGGCTGTGACAATGTGGGCAAATTAAGAGGAAGGGCTGTGGACTGCAACATGACAAGAGGAATGTTGTTCTGTGCAAGGAAAGTGAGGAAGAAGGCAGTTTAGGGGGGCTAACAGTAAGGAGAAGAGGGAAGTGGAGTTTCTGGGAAAGTAGCGGCAAGTCAGCGAGGAGTGTGGAGGGTGGGAAAGTCGAGGATAAATACTACCTTGAAGCGAAATACACTTGGAGCACCACTCGACCCTTGGAGGAGAATCACAGCCTCGGAACAAGATACATCCATAGGGCCACTCACCCTTTGATATAGTCCTGGAAGAAAAACTTGGAGATGCTGATGGTTGTCCCAACAAAAAACTCAAAAAAATTGAACCCTAAAATATTACAAAACAAATATATTGGTGTGGGAACAGGTGACACGAGAGCAGGGTCTCACGAAACGAGAATTCCCGTTGTTGAACCGGTCGGCCCAATTGAGGTTGGTCCAGGGTAAACCCAGGCCGAGCAGATTGGGGGCGGTAATTTGACAAGGCGGGGTTGCAATCCACTCCTCTCCTCTTTCCTTTTTCAGCTTCTGCTTCATTTGGGAAGTATTCTAATTGCTATTTCTGGATCTTTCTTGCCTTCCTACCCCTCCATTTTGTTTGAGAGTTTCCTTCTTTATTACTTTCCTTTTCTTTGTCAATGCGGAGTCTATAAATTGTTGTTTTCTAATTGTAGGGTTTCGTTTTTGATGCGTTTGTTTTTCAGATTTTTTTGTTTGGAGTCTTCTTCTTTTTTGTAGGGTTGTATCCGAGGAGGTGGTGGTGCTCCGGCTGTATATTACTCCGAGGTGGTGACATATCTTTTCTAACCTTTCTCTTTCACTTTCCTTAGATGCTGGCTGCTCCAAGCATTCCCCAACCGCCTCCAGCCCACTTTCCATCCGTCCAACTTGCTGTCCAAACCTCCAAGCTTGTTGTCCATACTCCTGTTACACGTCGTCCAACCTTTCTCCTAGCATCCCCCCGCCAACCCACCTGCGCACTTCCCCAGCCTTCCGTACAACCGTCAACCGTTTCCCCTTTCTCCCTTGTCACCTTGCCGACACCATCGCTGTCCTCGGACCTTCTCTTCCTTTTTGTTGGGCTATATTCGAGAAGGTGGTGGTGCTTTGGTTGTATCCTACTCGAGGTGACGACGTATCTTCTCCTTTTATCTTCCTTAACATGTCTCTTCAACTTCCCTTAGTCGTTGGCCACTCCAAACCTCTCCCAACCGCCTCCAGCCCACTTTCCATCCGTCCAAGCCTGCTCCAGGCACGCTACCTGCTGTCCAGACTACCAGCCTGTTGTCAAGGCTCCCATTTCTTGCTGTCCAACATTTTCGCCATCCTCCCCACAGTTCCCCAACCTTCCAAACTTGACACTTAATCCTTCCCTCTTTCCATTTTGTCACGTTGCTGACACCATCACTGCCCTCGAATCTTCTCTTCCAGTCCTAATCGGAAATTGTATTATTATTGTATTATCTTTCCCATTTGTGTCGTGTTGTAACCCTATTTCTAAATTAACAAAAGTTTTCTTTTATATTTTCGCTAAATTCTGCTTAGTTCCGTTATTTGATATCAGACCTTGCCCAATTCTAGTCCTATCCTAGGGTTTCCTAGCGTCCGCCATAACCCACAAAATTTCCTACATATCATCCTATACCCTGTCAACTGCCACATGTTCCTAAGCTTAATTCCCCTCGCTGATTTTTAAAATTAGTAATCTTTACCCAATTAGTTTTACCCTCTTTTACCTCTACTAAAAATGTTTCCTTTCTATTCCTAAACCCTATATGAAATACTTTGGGTTTTAAATTCAGTTCAAGAATATCGTCTAGATCAATAGCCAAATAGGAGAGATGGACCACAACTTTAGATATCTCCTTAGGAACAAACATTTGAAAGTGGGATCTACCATTTCAAAGAAAAAGAAACCTCTTCTAGCCGAGGAGAATCATACGGGAGCTGTCGTGCCCGCAAAGTTGTAGAACAGGGGAAATTCCACAATACAGGATCCCACGATCACATTTGTTGGGAATGCCGCCAAAGCTTGCCGATTTCGATATATTTTTTACATTTTTCTTCCTTTTGATTTGTTTCCTATTCTTTTATTTCCCATTCCTTTATTTATTATTATTATTTTTATTTCTAAGTAGGTTTTTTACTTGGGGGACTATTTATGTTGTTATTTTCTGGGTGATGGGACTTTTGCTTTATTTTAACTAAAAAGGAGCTTCTAATCTCCGATTTTCTGGTTTTTGAGTGATGTATGACCAAGTATTTTGCTCAAGAAAAAGAATGCTCACATGATAGACGCCAAATGGCTCTAGAAAGTGCAATTGTATAGGCTTGTCACTTGGTCATAGCATTATTTAACATATTGCATCACATTTTGCCAACTTAATCTTATGGATGATGGGATGAATATATATAATTAGATAGTCATATGTACGATTGTCCAAAGATCGAAATACTTGGCTTGGATAAGCTTATGGGAGTATCAGGTTGATCAAACATTCATAGATGTGAAAGCAATTTTACCTAAAAGTCAATAAACACACAAACACAATCTATATTTTGTGTGGGTTGGGAATTACATAGGCATTCATATCAGTATATTGACCTATTTGGTATTACATCACAGACATCTCTAGAGTGCTCCTATAAAAGCATACTTCATTTTTGAGTTACTAATGAAATTCTAATATTTAAGTCGAAATACATCACAATTTCTATGGCTCAATATCCCTCAACTAATGATTTTTCACACAACCTTATTCACCTTCATGTTAACTAAAGAACTTTGCAAACCTTAAGAAACTCAAAATTTCTAAAGAACATGTATCCTCCACTCAAAGTAATAGATCCTCTCACTTTTGGTATATACGTGACTACAATCTATATCGGTCACACATTCATCCTCAATTTAACAATACCAAAAACAATAGCATTGCACGTGTCAATCTTCAAAAAAATAGGCTAAATCCTGAATAGGCTCGATCTTTTTCCCTTTTCTTTCATTCCATTAACTAATAATCTTACAATCTATTTTTAGGTACAAAATATTAACTAATAATCTTACAATCTATTTTAGGTACAAAATATTCTGTATAATCTATTTTAGCTAACTTAATAATATATATTCATACTTTAAATATTGAGCTATCAGGAAAATAAATCAGAATAAAAAAATAAAAAATTATTTAAATATGGAAGCTCCTAGTTATAGAAAACACCTAATTTAACTGTCTGATTTCCGTCCTTCCTGATTGAGATCTCTCCTCAAATTGATGTTGACTGATCAAGAAGCTTCAATTTACCAACAAAAAACTTTGTCGGGACCAACAATCTTCAAGTAGTGAGTGCCGAAGCCGAGAATGTCGAAGCCTCAGAGACAGATCCTGAACTATAATATGATTTGAGCAAAGAAAAATAAGAAATCCTCTATCGTTGTTGTCCAAAAGTTCGAATAATAGCCATAAGAAGGATTCACATCCAGTTACACGTTCCAAATGCTACCGATCATAGCCCACAAGTAGGATCCGCGTCCTGTTATATTATCCAAATGCTATTAATTCTTCCGGCTACGACGAGGACGATTTGTTCCTTGATCTTCACGCCAAAAGTGCTGAAGCCGAGATCAGACGTGCAGATGAAAAAAGGGAATGTCTCGTTGGCGTGCAGATGAAGGTGATGACGAAGTGGGAGCCGCTGCGGGTGGAGTTCGAACGAAGGAGAGGCTACGTCGAGACCAGCCAAGTCGAAGAGGAAGACAAAGTAGAACGAAGACGACGTAGGCGAAGAAATAATCATACGTCGAGCAGACGACATAGGCAAAGAAATAATTAGATGTCGAGTATACGACGAGAGATTCTAGACGAGCGATGCTCGTAGGGTTCACCAGACAAGCATACAGACGAAGTAATCGCAGTGGACAAATATCCCTCTGAACTATTCCAAGGAGAAGCGTGCGAAGTCATGTCTGCCTCGTTGCGAGGGGCTTTGTCAGATGGGCGAATCAAGACAAAGAAATATGTACTCCCTTCCCGTAAGAAGGCCGACATAAAGAGAGTTTTGACGGTTCTCCAACGACTACAGGTGGTTAGTGTAAAAATTTGATTATGATACCATGTCAATCTTCGAAAAAATAGGTTGAATCTTGAGTAGGTTCAATCATTTTCTCTTTGCTTTCATTCCAGTAAATAATATTCTTACAATCTATTTTAGGTACAAAATATTCTGTATAATCTGTTTTAGCTAATTTAATAATACATATTCGTAATCTAAATATTCAGCTAATAGGGAAATAAATCAGAATAAAGAAATTGAAGATATTTTAAATAAGAAAGCTCCTAATTATAAAAAACTCCTAATTTACTTGCTTGATTTCCGTCTTTTCTGATTGACAGCACACAAAATCATTTCTCATATAAGCATAGCCACTAGAGCATGCTCATAAGTGGGAATCTTATCAAAACACATAATATGAACAAATTGAGTCCAAAATTTGCGATTGTTGCATCTATTTTAATCAATAATAGAAAGAATATCTCCAATTTTTATATTAAAAGTGTTCACATATGTTGTTTTATTTTTTTAATGGTTGTTACCTACATAATGTTCATTCTTTTCAAATCATAGCCATCTCCTCTTACGTACTCTTTCTTCTTACATATAAACAAGTTTTTTTCTTAGATCGTCACAAATTTGTTCATATCATTAAAAGAGATCCATTCTGAACAGATCTATCCTTAACAATCAATTCCTCACTTTGTTTTCCTTCTCCTACACCCTCAAGCTTAACAATCATACTTTAGAAATAAATTATTTTGGGCATCATATCTTTTCCAAATAAGGTGTCATTAACATGCTTAAACAAGGGAGGTAAGGAGCGTAATAGTAACAATCTCGTTCTTTATTATCAACAATCACATCAATATTTTTTAAATCTCTAATATTTAAACCAAACTTATTTAGAAGTGATTTAATGGATGTACCCTCTTGCATGAAAAATATACATAGTCTTTGTTTTTGAGAAATTTTATTAGGGAAGCTATTGGCTGTATATAAAGACTTTAACTTGACCATAAGTCTTTAGTGGTTGTTTTCACCAAAACTTTTATCATAACATCATGTGCCAAAAAAAAATAAAGCTTCAAAATGTTTTTTTTCACTTTTTTTTTCTCGTCTTCTTCACTCATGATTCATGCTTCATGAGTGCCTTGATAAGTTTTCATTGGGCTTGAACACCAAATATTTCAATTCTAGAAAAGCTAAAATTCTTTAATCATTACATTTCACTTTCTTGAACTTCATGCCATTGATTAGGTCCATTCCCAAATCACAATTACATTCATATACAAAGAATGCTAAGAAGATACACAAAAGAAAGCTAAGAATATTCACATACAAAGAAAGCTAAGAAGATACACAGAAATTCCACGAAACAAAGATCAACTCACATAAAAAACTTTTATCTGGCATGTTCCATGAAGCTTCCTAAATCCTCCAAGAAACCTAGCGACTAGGAGAGCATGTGAGGAGCAATGCTTCACGATTAGCATGCTCTAAAACTCAAACTTTAGAAGTATGCCTCAACTTAAAGTTCATCCCTTAATTCTGAATTCAGAGAATCTGGATTTGCGAGAAGTCCTGAGGTGTGAAATCCTGTATGCTTTATAAGGGTAGTATAATAATAATGCATTCAGGTCAACAGAGAATATTGTGGTAATATAACGTAATTCTCTATATTTGTTTTTTTTATGTCCATTTATTGACGATTATAAGTTTGAAGTGATTTCTTTGTTCCTGAGCATGCACATATGATTGATATATTTGTCTTCTAAAGGTTTTGTTTTTCCACAGAGGGGGATTCTTTCAATGGGAAGATCATACCCCAAAATCAGGCACATTCAAAGGGACTTCTGGTGGGTTGGCTATATGTATAAGTGGTTGTGATGATAATCAGTCAGCTCAAGACACTCAGGTAGGAACATTTGTCAATAACTAGTGATTATTAATATAGAGCAAGTCATGACTTAGATCTTGCTAATGATATATATATTTTTAAACTATTACTAATGCTTAGAACTTATTATATTGGTTAATAATGCAAGATACTTTTGATGAGGTAACAAGTAGTTGTTTTTCCCATGGCCTCTACCGATATTAGTGCTATAATGCCAATGTCACTTCCCTAAAACATTCTCTTTTGTCTTAACTAAGTAGTATTTGCTTTTCGTATGCTCTTGATATTAATAACAATGATATTCATGATTGTGCAATCTGGTCTTTCAAAGTTGGTGCTTATTTAATTGGTCGTGCTAGTAAAAACTCTGTGACTATGTTGTATACTTTTCCCATTTGTGTTTGTCCTGTTGGCCATGATCGTAAACAAATTACCCGGTGATGTACGTGCCTTCCTATCCTTGCAAAACCAAAATTTTAGAACATCTTTCTGACATCTTTTTGATAAGCCATTCTATGTTTGATTTGTTTCTTTATAGGGCTTAAATGGATTAAAAGATAAGCATGAGGCTAGTGAGATTAAGTTATTTCTCGTGATAATTAGTCTCCTTCCATTGCTTTCGCTTTGCATAATTAGTTATGCTACTTTGACAATGAAATTCTTTCTTCCATCTTTCTACTTCTCAAATGGTTACCCAATTCCTGTTAACTTTGACTAACTCCTTGAAGTGACTCCCACGGAAGAAATTTTTTAGTCATTTCATTAAATTAAAATTAATCATAATTTTATAATCATAATGAAGTCCAAGTACTAAATCAACTCAAGTTTATGAAAATTTTAGAACATCGTCAGGAGTTTAGGATATAAACTTAGGCCAAAGCACAGTCAAACAAATTTCTCGGATTATGTTAGCTTACAAATAACTCGTCTCTTTCACAAATTAAATCCCTTAACCCCCTTTATTGATTATAAACTAGCAAATATGGAATATTCTCTTAGTTTTCTCATTCTCAAGGAATAAAGTACCGAGGAAACTCCATTAAAAGCTTGAAATTCGTGTGTAATTTTGAGTCTTAAACCTTTCTTCTACCATAACGTTTGAGTTCTTGACAGTAAAAAAATATGAATAGATTGAGGAGGCCAAACTGTTGAAATTACACTTGAAAGATATTTGAATACTTATTGGTAACTCATGTTTGTTTAGAGTTGTATTTAGTTTTAGTTCCAACTTTATTAATTTTTCTAAATAGTTTTAACCCTGTTAGCTTTGGCTGGTTGGCTTTAATTTATTTCTTCATAATTAATCTAGCTCTTCACATCATTTTCCCTTCTTTTTTCTTTTGAACGAAAATGAGTTTTTTGATTTATTTTACTATTCTTGATAGATTTATCATTATACTTTCTTTAACATAATAATCACGTGCATTACCCCTTTCAACTCAGCAGCACTACTTAGTTTCATTATTTTTACAAAATTGAACTCAATAGTTTGTGTATGCTTAAAACTATCGTTTGTTGCCGGTGTTTTGGGCATCTACACATCTATCTTAAAATATTGAAGTCCATTTCTCTCTGCAGGCTCTATCTGGCTCTGCCATAACTGGTGCCATGGTATACAGTTTAATTTATGCAGTTGAAACTGATCCTGGAACAACATATGGTCGCATGCTCAGCAACATGCGCTCTGTTATTCGTGGGGCTGATTCTTTTATCGGGTTCAATGGTCCATTAGCCTCTTTTGTGAAAAGAGTGCTCAGTTATGGAATCAAACAGGTATTTTATTTCTGTGAACTACAATATTTCTTGACCACTTTACTGAGTTCAGGCTTTGTTTGTGCGTTTTATCAAAAAATTCTTTAGAAAATATTATCCAAAATATGTCCATGAGTATGCTAGATTTTTTAAATATATTTTTATATCTGGCTCAGGTCGCTTTTAATGTTTTGTTGATCAGAGCATTCAAGGATGTTTTACTGATGCATAGAACTACCAAAGTGATTTCCAGTTTCTTGCTATAGTGCTTTGTTTGCTATTTGATGATGAATTATAATGGATTAAGCCCATAAGGCCATGATTCTTGTGCATCGCTTTCACAGTTGCACACAAGTGAAACCTCCATAAGACCTGTTTTCTCTTTTCCTTTTACTCCTCTTATTTGAAAATTTTCTTCATTCATATTCCGTGATGTGATATCATCATCTACAGATGATTATGACCATAGTCATCTTCTTTACTTCCATCATTAGCAGAATTACCAGCCATATCCAATGAATCATTATGTGTTTTGTGAACCATTTATTATCATTCATTCTAGACCGGCTGATAGAAATCTGTTTCATTTTACAGGATCCTCAACTGTCGGCTTCCGAGATATTCGACATTTATCGGAAGCCTTTTCTCCTTTAAAAAAGTAATATGTTGTTATGGCCGTTGTTATTATGTCCATATATGTTTGCTTACTCAAAAATACTATCCACATCAACTAGAAGTTTATACGTTTGTTTTCTTGAAAAATAAATGAAATTCACATTACAGGATATGGGTAGATTATCAGAATGTTCTTACCTCATATTTACTCAACATCTGATAGCTTGTATGAATGCTTGCGCTGAATGATAAAGGAAAATCAAATTTTGTTTCATTGTAAATAAAGCTCCTCCTTTTAAAATACTTTGTTATGGGTGCTTAGATAGTTTAGTCATCTTAGGGGTTTTTGTTAGGATTGTGAGATTGAATCCCGTCTATATTAAGTTTGTGCTTTGGCACATTTTTTTCAAAGAGAAAATAGTACTTGATGGTATTAAGGCATAATTATTGAGTGATAGCATACTTTTGGCAATTGAAAATGTAACAGTAGACAATTCTGTGCTTAAAAAAATAAAAAATTGAGTTGATTTGATGGATCATCGAACAAATTGTTTGGTTGGTTTAACACTATTAAAGTTGAATTCGGATCCTCTTCACTCATCATCTGATCAGAGGATCGGATGACTTGCTAAGATTTTGTGGAGAAGAAATCCTTGAGTTTATTCCAAGGTAGTTGAGTAGTCTTTGAGTAGATTTATAAAGCTAAGTAGATTATTGGATCTTGAGAGGAGTCAAGCTTCTTGTGG